ATATAATATTAACTAAAAATATACTGATAATAATGATAACTAATAAATATACTGAAAAGAAAGAAGCAGAAGTTCAATGATAATTATGATCACGACGACAGTTTTTCAATACATAACCTAACAAAACCAAACACACCAACAACAACACAACCACCGAAAATGATGAAAAAGGCATACCGAGAGAATTTATTGACATTGCAACCAATACAGATACAATCGCCACAGAAACCAGAGAGACTCAAGAAAAGTTATATAATGATGCAAATCAACAATTAAATATGACATTTGAAGCGTTTAAGGTAAAGGAAAACCAAGATAATATGTTTAAAATAATGCTTAAAAACTTTTGGCACAACACATACAAAAGACATGAACCAACAAGAGCGCAAGCAACACAAACACTGAAAAACCAACGCGACACAATGGTGTCAGCCTTTACTAAAATGCTCGACAACAACAAACCACCAGAACCACCGCCAAAGAAACCACCAGACGAGGAGGACAGCGACGAAGAAGAAAAAAGATTCAAACTGACAAAAATGATAGAAATAATGCTACACAACGGCGCTACAGTAGCAGATGTAATATTAAACTTATCACATAGCGCAATTGCAACAACAATAAATATCGCAGATTTAGTTAATCAAATAACAGCAGGAAATGCACAAAGTAGCAGTAGCAATTCATCAAATGAAGCTATTAGTGTTCATAGTTCTCCACCTATTACTGTTCATAGTTCTTCATCTGAAAGTCCAACAGAAATACCAGCACCAACTGAAGACGAAGAAGAAGACGGAGAAGAAAAACAAAAAGATAATTCTGAAAAATTAAAATCTAAATAATATTATATATAATGGGTGCTTTTCAAAGTAAAAATAATGAAAATAATAGTTTGGAAGACATTAAGGTTTTAAGTATGGATGAAAAAACACGAGCAGACACTTTAGTTATTAAATCTCTTCAAGAATGTGTGGCACGAATTGAGAAATTAGAAAAAGAAAAATCTGACAAATTAATATATACATTACCTGTTCAATTATGTAATTATTCTTTATTCTAAACTGATAATATTAACATACATTAATATTATTAATTACTATCATAATCTGTCATTTCACTTTCGGGTAATTTTGTTGAGGCGTTGCTACACATATCATCTATTAAATCTTCTTCATCAACAAAATTATTTTGAAATCTTAATAATTCCTCGTCTGTTGGTCGTCTTTTTAACACTTTATAAAGTTTATGTATCCAAGAATTAGTATGAAAATTGTAATTACCTCTACGATAAAATCCACCACATCTACATAGTTTCATTGGCATATTATTATATTATATTAAATTAGAATATCTTTATTCATCATTTGTAATTTGAAATGCCTGTTCAAAACGGAGAAAAAACATGTCATTCACATTCTTAGCATTCATATTCACGTAGAAGAAACTATAAGGTGCGTCATTCACTGCTTGATGATACATATCTAATAATTGCTGTTTGTCAACAATGGCGCTATTTTCTTCAATAAAACTCATTAATTCACTGGCATTTTTCAACCTAAAAATATATAATGAACTGGCATTTAAACGAATGATAGGCGCCAAAACATTGTATTTTTGTGTTGAACAAATTACGCTTACTGCATCGTGCCTACCTCTTGTAAATAATCCATGTAATAATTTACTATATCTAACAAATTTAGGATCGTCGGCATGATCGTCTATAACGATTAATATTGAATGTAGTTTCTTTATCTTTTTAGATTTCATATAATTAATTATTTTCTTCTGTCTTTCAATTACATTTTCTAAATCACTTGGATTATAATTATCAAAATAAATTTGTTCTTTTTCATCATCCACGTGCAATTCATCCCTGATATATTTTTTAACTTCTGTAAAGGTTGGGTCATTATGAACGCTGGGGGAAAATATAAATATTCTTGCAAATGAATTTCTATAAACATTTAAGATAAGGTTCTGAACCAAGACTGTTTTGCCACCTGTCGAACTCGCAACTATAATACTTCTAAATGGTAATTTTGGCACGTGCTCATATTTAGATTGTTTGAATTCATATTCAGTTATGTTTATTGGCTTTATTATTGGAACATCTGACATAATAAAATAATATTAAAGTTATTTAGAAAATATTTTATATTTATTATTTTATATGAATAGAAGCTATTCAGATTATATTGATATAATAGATGAAGTAGAGAATTTAGAACAAGTTGTTATAACTGATAATAGATGCAAGAAAATATGCTATTTTGTTTTAGAAATAATTAAGTTTGTGATACAATATATCAAAAATAAAAATGTAAATATTAATATAAATGGGAAGAAAGAAAAAGAATAAGACTGAACCAGTTGTTTCTTCAACTGATGAAGAAAAAGAAGAAATTGTTAAAGAAGCATCAGTTATTGAATTTGCTTGTCCGATGTGTAAAAACATGTTAGAAATGAAAAATGAATTAGAAATACAAAAGAAAGGAAATTGTAAATGTTCGTGTATTCCGACAAGTTTCAAAATTAGTAAAAATGATAAAAAAAATAAATATTGATAAAACTAAAGACAGTATCAACTTAGAAACAGATGTTCATAATATTACATTTAAATGGGGTCGGAACGCTACTCCATCCGATAATGGAGAAAACGAAACACAGGAAACTGTTAAACAAATGATGAAAAATTAGTATTTAAAATTATTTCTATTATTATTTATAATGCAAGATGTTATAAATAATATTCTTAAATTCATTGATGTAAAAGAATTGAAATTAAATAATTTTATTGAAGAATATAACGAAAATGATATATTAATTAATTTTGTTAATGACTTTAGAAATAGTAAAATTGATTTTAACATGTTTTATAATTCTATTAATTATGCTGATTTATTTGAACAATCAGATTTAAAATTTTATTGTAAAAGAATATATTCATATACTTTAAGATTTATTGCTAATTATGATAATAAAAATGCTATTCAGTTTTATGAAATTACATTGAGAAAAATGAATAATATTTACAAAAATAGTAACATTAATGTTGTTAATGTGTTTGAATGTATTAAATGTTTAATAATTTATATTACAGATAATATTGAAAAGTTTCATAAATATTCAAAATTTAGAAAAACTATTATTTGTAATTTAATTGGTAAATTGAATAATAATTTAACGAGTTACACAATAACTAATTTTGAATTGACTTATAATGATATATGATTTTGTAAAATAAAAGTTTAGTTTTAAAAGTTTTATTTTATAATATAATATATATATTTACATGGATGAAGGATTAGAAAAGATTGTTAAAAAACTGAACAATGTTTTAGAACAGAATAAGATTTTTTTTAGAAATCTTGCAAGAAATGGAAAAGAAGAAACCTTTAACAAACAGTTATCAAAGTAAAGAAGTAGATAGAACCAATGGTGAATATAAAAATAAAAGAAATATTTATTTAAACAAACTTAATAACAAAGAAATTAAAGAACCGAAGGCTTCAACTATGACATTTTATCAAATTGACTATGATGAAGATACGGGGGTTTATTCATAGATAATAATCCAACGACAAAACAGCATGTTTTTCTTGAAATTAGGTGGGGTTCCCCCTTTTTTGGGGCGACAGTTTATTTATATTATGTTATTATAATATAAATTAACATTGTAAAACTTTATAACCTTTCATTATACCATAGTTATACTCTATAAAATTTGTTTTTGTGTTTCTTTTTTAATGAATGAACATAACCTTGCCCATAATATTTCTACAAAATTTATGATAAAAAATATTGTAAGATAATTTATCATAATTTTTGGAATAATATTTTTGAAAATTTATTTTTTGAAAAATTACTTTTTTTTTGAAAATATTATTTTTTGATTTTTTTTTTTATGAATGAGTTTAACCTTGCCCATGCATCCTACCATCAATAACCATATCATATGAACCACCCTATACTCCTATTTCCACTCAAGCATCCTAACAATGACAAGAATGATGGAATAGAAAATGAGAAAATGTGACTTTTTTGATGGATTTTGAGGTTGAGACTGTTATGAAATGTTTTAAGTGGAAATATGCATAATGAATAAGGATGACGATTTGAATAGTGAAAAAATGGTTGAAAAATGCCGATGTTGCGTAGGGTGGGGGTCACGCTCGGGTACCACAAAAAGATGGGCAAGGCCCACCCTAACTTTTAGAACCTATTTTACTGGGGATTCGGATGTTGACTGAGGGTACGGGATTTTGACCTATGGCCAACCAGCAATCAAGATGTCCTTGTCGCTGCCGCTGCTGCCGCTGGTTTTTGGCGCTTCCCACATTGATTGTCAACATCATCACATATTCTTGTTACTCGACAAGTGCATACACACGGGAACCCTGGATTTGATACCCGGGTGTTGGAAACTGAAGCTTGACGCCAAGTTGTGCCGACTTGCCGGTGGGCTTGAAAAGTTGTTGAAGCATATTCCGCATGTTACTTGTTTCCAACATTGGCGCGCTGAGAAGCTGAAGCGGCCTTGCTGATGCCGCGTTGAATCATGCGCGTGCGTAAGGCGGAAAGGCGGCTGAGTTTGAGGGATCCTCACCGCAGATCTTCATAGCCATGAATCGGTATGATATGTGTTGTTCATGGCACCAAGTGATGTAGACACAGGCTGGGCTCAGCCCTGGAAGGCAGCTGTCGACCTCTTTTTGCCCAATTGCACCCGGAGCCGGGTGCATAGCAAGCCAGAAACATGTCGAACAAGAGCATCTGCATGCGTTCCAAATTGCAAGTTCCTGCTATCCCGACCCGTTTCCGTTTCCTGGAAAGCGCAGCGCTCATTTGGCTGTGGGTCAAACCAATGGCACCATTTTGGGGTAGGTGCATCACCCATTTTAGTCTATTCTATTTGGGATTGGGGGTACGGGGTTTTGACTGGCTCGGCCGCCCCCTGCCTTGCTTGACTGGCCTGCCCCCAGCTTTACCCGCAGCGTCAGGATGGTTCTGACGTGGCGATCAAGGCAAGGGCCGAGAAGCAAACGTTAGAACATAGAGAAGCAGCGCAATTTGGGGAGTAATGTTGACCTCTTATGAATCAATCAGAGTTTACTAGTGGGGGGTGTCCCCGCATGGGTTTAGTAAGAAATCATCACTTTTGGCAGGAACACCCCCTTATTGATAAACTGGGGTTGATTCAACATTATTTGGGGGAGAGTTGATACTGTCGTGGCTGCGATGAAACACCACAGCGATGAGGTCGTGTGGGATGTGCATTCAGAAGTTCCCGCTGCCCCGGCCGACATGCGACCTGCAATGGGCTCCCCACTGGGCCCAACCGAATGCTGCAACAATTCTGGCCTTTGACTGCACAAGCTCTTGTAAAGACATGTTGTTAAACCACCAAAAAATCAGACCGGTTTGAATGTCCTTGGTTCCATTTCCCGGACCGAGAAGGTATCTGGAGGGAAGGGGCAACGGGTGGAGGTCTTTGGACTGCTTGGCTCGTCTTAGCCATGGTCTATTCGATTGCTGGAAATCCTGTGGATAGAAAGCCATCCCCGGCATCTTGCCCGCTCCAGCTTTTCCTGCCTTCCGGCTTGGCATAGAGCCTCAGGGCCTTCTGAAGCAGTCAGTGCAACTCTCCAGCTTGCTTCACTGAAAGCCAGGCGATCGATTTGAGCATCCTCATGGGCAAGGGTGAGTGCCCAGAGGCAAAGTGTGCTAGGGAAAAAGGGGGGGTGGATAGGTTACGTTTTTGAAGATGTCCAAGTGACAGGTATTACGATGTATGATTCGCCGGTATTATGCGAGATGATCTGGTGGTGAGAAGCCTCCAGAGGATCGGAATGACTCTCAGGCCAGAGAAAATCGTTTGCCCAGAGTGACCCCGGGTTAAAACGCCAGCTGTGGGAGTAAACAATGGCTATTTGGCTATAAATTGCATAGACCCCTGTAGAAAGACGACTTTCCTCTTGGAAAGAGCCTTTTTGCACTTCCCCCCCCTCCCCCCACCGGACGTCAAGAACTTTGTGCACTTCTACAAGGGAACTGCTCGTCCCCTCCCGATAGTTTTTGGGGCAGTCACCATCCGATCCGGACGACTCCTCCTGCTTTGCCGCCGGG